TATATATATATATATATATATATATATATATATATATATTACTTTTAAACAATAAAAGATTACTGAGTATTTAAAATACTGCTTTTCGATAATATTAAGTCAACATTGCCAACTGAAATAAATAATTCAAATGGGCATTTTTATTTTTTAGCAATGTTTTATAGAATTCATGAAATGAAACAGGACTGAGATAAAAAAAGTTAACCACTGTTCCTTACTATTTTCTCACTAAGACACTTTTCAGCACCATTTAAAGATCAAAGAGTAATCCTTTCAATCCAATTTTCCTTCTAAAATAGTTATTTATCTAATTTTTTTTTAAGGAAACTTTTATTTATGCGTTATAAATGCTCATTATAATAGCATTTTAAAAATTTTTTGCAACAGAAAGAGATTCCAGAAATTATTTTGGGTTTTGAAGAGAAAGAATTAAAAACTTCAGTAATTAGGCTTTAACATAGTGAGAAGAGCATACTAAATCCAGGGTACCTGCTACATTTTAGATTTTCAAATTCATGACTTCTCATGACTAATTCCAAGAATTTTTCATGATTTTACGAAGTTACTATTTTCTCTGACAAAAACACAATAGTAAATTTAAAAAAGCATCATAATAACATTAATTGAAATTATAGGTATTACCAAAACTGTTATTCTCTGCATCTTCATATTTATAGATTTTAAATATAAAAAAAAACAGAGAAAATAAAGATTTGAAGCAATAAAATAGCTGAAAAGTAAGTTTTTTTTCTTTTTTCTGCAGAATTATATTCTAAAGATACTTTTCTTGCTCAAGGGAAAGGAAAGAAATACTTCTGATTTTTCTGCTCTCATTTCGGAATAAAAATAATTCGCAAATCACTGGGTTGCTTCAGCTGAAATTTTAAATTTACAAAATAAAAAAATTTATAATAAAAATTCTGAAATCACAGAAATTTAAAAGATAATTTGCTCTAGAAATGAAGTTTTTTTCTTCTTTCATTTTTTGAAAGAAAGCAATTTTTAAAAAACATGATGAAAACATTTTATATTTTAATAAAATATGACTGTGAGTGGGAAGTTTGTTACAAATTCAGATATTCGGAACACCAAGAAATTGAGGGAGGGGTAAATTCCAGTTTAATAATTAGATTTTTTGGCAACCTAAATTCATGACTTTTTAAAAAAAAATAGTTAAAATCATGAAAAATTTTGTTCAATACCAAAATTCATGACTTTCCATGATTTTTCATGACTTTCCAGGATCGCGGATACCCTGTAAATCAGATTTAAAAAGGTGCCCAGAATTTATGAAATACATTTTATCATCAATGTAACTTCACTATTTAAGAAGTAATAATTCTAAATTAATTACATTTGCAGTTTTGTCTTACTGTATATAACAGATTGATTAGTTAATTATAGATATAACAGTGATCAAACACATAATGTTCAATACAGTCGATAAATTTTGTATAAAATTTGAACTTATAAATAAACTCAAAAATGAAAAAACTCACAACATGTAACCGTTCATATCCATTTTTAAAAAAATATGAAATAAATTCACACAAAATATGTAATAAATTTAATTCGAATAACATGAATTGGGTGACCATATAATAGATATTGAATGGAATAAGATATAATGCTTAAAAGGTAATGCAAAAAAAAAAAGCACATTATTAAATTATATAGTAAAAACAGCTACCCACATTCATTATTCATATTAACTTTAAAATTACACCTGGAATGGCAGAAACACAAAGGTATATAATGTAAAAGATAAATAAAAGTATAAAACTAATAATGTTTATGTACATAGAAGCTACGTCCCATTATTAGAAAATTTCACCACATAACCGGACAATTCTAATTTAAAAATATTATTCCACTGAATGAAATAAATAAATAAATAAAAGAGTAAAAAGGAGAAATTACTATGTAATAAAATGAATATCAAATAGGATATATGCATCAACATACATCAGTTTCGAGTTTGAGAAATGTAATAGAAAATATTTGAAAATAAGAATTTAAAAAAATTCATTGAACTAGATACTCTTTGTAACTTCTGAATGCTTTCAAATGTTTTTTTAGAGCTTTAATCAATTCCACAGGCTGCACTAATATTGATATATCAAGACCAACAGCATTTAAACGGTCATGAACCTAAAATAGAAAAAAAAACACATTAAGCAAATACCTTTGCTAGAATTTATAAATAATTTGAAAAACAATAGAAAGAAAGTTCTGTGCATGCACTTATAAAATAAAGTTCTTATTTTTTTAATATTCCTATTTTAAGTGTAAAGATAATATATAGACATTTATATGTAACATAAAAAGCTTCAACTAATTTTTTTATGTTATTTCTTTATCTAAATTCTCCTTCTTAAATTATTATTCAACATTAAATGCTTCCTCACAGTTCCTTTTCTCTTTTCTTATTCTATTTTTAGACTCAGGATGTATAAATTAACATTTCGGATTTTTTCCTTAAATCGAACCGTGTGAACCATTTCATTCCCTCAACCTATTTAATGGAACAATTGGAATTATGAATGTTTTTTTCCCCTGAGACCTAAGATATTATAGGGGCAAACTAGTGTTTCTTTTCCTAAGATAAAAACTCAAATGGACAGATTGTGGAGCGTGATTAGAGCTCTGCCAGCTTTTAAATATGTTTGTTTTAAATACGTAAAAGATTGTTTCAATTCACTTCCTTTTTTCCTGCCCTGAACATGCATATATATATACATATGTGCCAGATTTAGTTAACACAATAAATTAAACTTCATAAATCCAGATCAATCTTCAATATTTTTTTACGATTAAATGCATATTTTAACAATAAAATTTTATTGTATTGAAACTGGAATCCCGGGAATGTTTAAAACTCTTTTAATAATTAAAATTAGCTATTTCTTTTTTGTATATAATCAGTCAAATAAGATTATTTAATAATTTGAAAATTGAAAGCCAATTTGAAATAATCATAAAATACACTGGTTATCATAAATTAAGGAAAATTCACANTCATAAAATTCCATGTGTAATTTCTTGAGTTATCGCGATTTTTGTGAATTTTCCTTAATTTATGATAACCAGTGTATATGACAGTTTAACATCAACATTTTCCCTCAGAAAAGACATATTTTTAAATTGTAACCAGAAAGTTTATAATAGCTTTATTTATCCAAGATTTATTTCATTCATTGTATTAATTTCCTTTACATATATATGTATATTTAAAAAACTAAAGTAAGGAATTTTAATAAAAAAATAGCACATTTAAAAATTAAGCTATCATTAGAGCCCTACTGCTTTAAGAACAGAAACTTGAAAACAGACAAAGATCAAATGTACCAACACAAGAATTCTTTCTTATCATTTGTCTAATATTTTGTTTCAAAATCTTTAGGTCTTACAAGACATCAAATAAAACTATTTTGGAAAAAAAAGCTAAAATTAAAACTATAGAAAGGAAATATCAAAACAAAGATGGAGTTTGCTTGGTCATGATCTTAGAATGCCAAAAGAAAAAATAGCAAGAGGGAGGCCAGGACATGCCTTCCAGCACATGACTCTGGGTGAACTTAAGTATTTTAGATCATATGTTTGGAAAGAAGCAAGTTCTATTGCCAAAGACAAGAGTCAATGAAAAGATATACTTGAGGTTTAAGTGCCCAATTGTACTCAGATGTTAAGTAGAATTAAAAGATTTTGCAAAAATTAACTACCATTGAGAATTGTTAAAAAAATTAAAAATTATTAAAAATTTATAAAATACACCTAAATAATATGAAATCATTCTCTTAGTTACACTAATGCCTAAATACAAGCTGATAATTCAGTTTTGAAATTTTTTTAAAGTAAAAATGAGATTTTAAAAAAAAATCTTATCATAAAATGTGTATAAATTACCATAAATGATAGATATATAAATTAATTTTAATAATAATGAACTATGTTTAATCATTATCATTAATAAAGATTTTCTAGATGATATATTTACATTTCAAAAATATTCAAAGCATTATAGATTATTTGTCTGTGATGCTGCTCCATAAGATGTGCGCTGAATTGTTTTTATCTTAACTACTTTAACTCAGTTTTGTAGTTTATTGTTCACAATTTTTTAAACAAGCGAGTTCAGTTATTTTAGTTTTGGTTCTCTTAACTCTGGTGGCATTTCAACCTTTAAATTGATCGATTTTTTTTAGTGTGAATTTTTGTTTAACTGTGACCAATAAATGGTTACCTCTCTCCAGCATGCCTTCTCAGCGTCTCATGATGAATGTGTTGATCTGAGAAGGTATCTCCTTCTCGCTGAAATTTTTACTAAATTTTAAGCTTCCGTCTTCTCACTTTGTGCACCATATTTGGCAAAATATTTTTGGGATCCTTCAGTTAAATTAAAAATGCAAATTAAAATAAACTAATTCTTTTTTCATCCTTTTTCCCAAGTTAGAAAAGTGCTTTAATAAGATTAGACCTACATTCTGGAACACAGCATGTTTTTTTCTTCTTTCTCAGCGATATCTTTTCATCGCCATAGGAGCACCTGTAAAGCTTATCCTCACATCACCGAAGTATCACTGCATCGCCTTTTTGGTGATTGAATTATAATGATTTCAATTCATGACTACAAGAAAGTATGCTCCTGAAATTTCTGTCTGGAAACTGAGCCATAGCCGTCAGCCTCGGACACCAGCTATTCTCCATGCCTGATAACGTGATGATTATATCAAGAAGTTTTAAATGTTAACAAACTCTTCTTATTGAGTAATATAGCATTGCCACATGAACCTGGATACAATTCTTCTGGAATGGAGAATTATGGTAACATCCAATCTTTTTCCATATACTTTAAAATTTTGGACTCTTTATTTAGATATGATTTATTTATGAAGAATAATAAAATTTACACGCAATGTACTCAAATGTTTAATTTGTTAAAAAATATTATCACCACCTTATAAAATTTTATAACAGTAATAATTTATTAAATTTGTTTTAAATGAAATAACCATATCACATCAACTCAAAATGAAGATTCCCATACATACTAAGTAAATTTAACTACTAAAAATGCTTCCAACATTTCAATCCAAAAATGTTACTTAATTAAGAAATTACAAACAAAAGTCAAATAATAGATAATACACACTAAAAACTTACCTCGTTATCTTTAAAAAACAAATTTAATGGACGGTGATTAATTTCAGTAATAACCCAATTGCACAAGGAATTACCATCAAGACTAGTTGCCTTTGCTGTAAGGCCATACTGTGAAGCTAAACCATTTGACTTTACTTCTTTAACCTTTAAAAATATATGCAAGCAAATTTATTTTATATATTTTTTTTTTTACAATTTTCACAGATTCAGATACAATTAAAAAAATAACAAATAATAAAATTACAAATAATAAATAAATATTGGGAATTGTTGCATTTGTTTTTTAATCCAAGTATTTAATTAAAATCCAATTCAATGCTATATAGTTGTGGTTTAGTTAAGATTGGGCTAAAAAACTTGAAAACTCTAAAAAAATCATATTCAGGCAGATTCATAGCAAGTAAATCCACAAGCAGGTTAAGAAGTGGACAGGGGAGGCCTGTGCTAATTAAGAGTGTTTAAAGTAAATTCGAAAAAATTTCTATCTATTGCCTATGCATCTAAGACTGGAAATGTCTGTCATGATTTTGATGATGTAGAGATGGGCAGCTCTGTCAACTGTGAGGGCTAAGCTGGATTTTTCAAAATATTGAGAGTGAGATGAAAGTATTCTTCATAATCTCTGATTAAAAGTTTTTACTTTTTGAGTATATTTAGGATTAGGTAAGATCTGTGACCTAAGACTAACAGACTAAAAACAATTTTTTGAAAGAATGTCATCAGTCTTATTTCCATGCCCTCCTACATAAAATAAGTAAATAATATAATCCATTACTAAGCCAGGACTTCATAATGCAACATGAATAATTGCTCAGAAATCAAAAAGTAAGAAACAAACTAAATTTATTTCAAAACCGACATTTTAATTTAGGCATTGGTGAAGCTGCAAAAATATATGGCTTTGAATTAGTGGACTCAGAATACAGAGGTGGTCACCAGTCGTCCTGGTTCATCTTTCTGAAGTCAATGGCTCAACGTAAATTTATTCAGAATAATGACTAGTGAATTAGCATCAAACTAATGGAATCTGATACTGATTTATCAGTTTCTTATTGTCATTTATACCTTTTGAAAAGCATACAGAATTGTTGTATTTAAGCTAATTTTTTTATCTAAAATTTTTAAAAAAAAATAAAACAATAGTAATGAAATGAAGATTTACTATATTTTGTCAAAAATTAAATATATATATATATATATATATATATATCAATTATCTGTCATTTAATTACTAATTGGCTCAACCTGCAGATAATTCAGTTTGTTGGTTATCTGAAGTCAGATTTCTGTGGAATTCCTGCATCCTGTTTTGGAAAATAATCAATAATTTATTTAACTGAAATAAAAAACCCAAAAAGTAAATTATGAACATGGAATTAATATATATATATTTAAATTACAATTTAACTTTTTTAGTTGAAAGCACAAATCTGTTGTTTTAAAATATATGCCAAACACATAAGTAACACTTAAATTAAATTAGTTTAATAATCCACAATCAAACAAACCTCAGCTGTACCACCTTCTCTAACAATTCCCAAGTCTTGCCCTTCATATTCCCTCTTTATTGCTAAGATCTTTCCACAAGGAACTCTTCTAACTACAAACTCTACCTGAAAATGTAATGAGAATTATATGAAAAAATTTATCAATCAACAGTAAATTTTGTGTTTAAAACAAATAAGCTCATTCAAGACCTTTTAGTTTGGTGAAAAGTTAAATCAAAAAGTTTTTTCGAAATAAAAAGAAAAAAACAATCTAATTTTTATAAAGGCACATTTGGCAATCATGCAACATCCTGGTAACAAAGAGTTTTACTTGGTATTTTAAGTTTGTGATTCTTATATTGTTTTTTAAGTTTTATTTTGATAGTTCAATTAGCACTTTCTTTATAATATAGTGTTTTCAAAATACAATTTAACAACACTGTAGTAAGAACTTTTTTAAGACTACAGAACTTTAATGCCATAAGCACCTGGTTCTGAATTTTCTTTATAGCATGTATATAGATTAAAATATAATGAGTACTATAAAGTTATCTTTTAAACAGGAAAATTCTGAAGGCATGAAATATTTTTAAGAACCACGAATTAAAATTTCCAATTAAATTATGCATTAAATAGTATAATTTTCCATACTTCATAATGTTTAGAAATAAATTAAAGTATTCTATAGTTTATTCTATTAAAAAAGTTTGTTTTCTATTTTTTAACTACTCTTCACTTTTAAAGCAGAAATTTAAAAAAAAATATTATGAATAAGATTCTGAAACAAATAGCATTTTATTATTTTTTCTTTTGGAAACGTAAGTGTTTTGTGATGTATGGGGCAGAGTGAATTGCAGCAGAAGATGTTCAAGAAGTAAAATAGCAATAAGCATTTAGTCTATTTATTTTCATAGACTATTATGGCACAAAATAAGAAAACTTCATAAAACAAAGTTATAATATATTACAAGATTATATTACAAGTGTTGAACCAATCAGTGTAGGTTTATATATATATATNTCCAACATTTTGCTTTTTTAAATTATTGACAAAAGTTCTGAAAATTCAGCTTTCCTGATAAAGGATGTCTGGAAATGGGACTTTGTAGTGTAATTTTTCTTATTAGTTTAGATATTTAGTTTTAAAAATGCGGGCAAAATAATTTCTGAGATTTCAAATCCTGATCTGGCTGGCATGTATTAAAAAATTTCAAAACAAATAAGAAGAAAATTTTTTACTAATATATTATACAACTATAATTTATGATAAAATCTGTAAACATAAAAACATAGAATACATAAAAATTTGGCATTTAATATTTTTAACAAGAACAGTACATTAAGAACTTAATGCAATGCTCAGACAGGAGGTAAATTGTACCTCATATTTACATAAATTTACTGAATATGTTTTCAAAGAAACTTACAGTTGATGGTTGTAGTTTGATAATTCTGTATGCTTCATGCACGTACTGTATTCTGTGACCGTTTATGCTTATTATGCGATCTCCAACATGGAATGTGTTATGAAGAAGAGGATGCTCTTTTTGTTTCCATCCGGCAACCCTTTGAAAAGGATTAAACATTTCATTTTTAGTTCAAAGAAGAAAATAAAGATGTTTTATAAAAATAAAACATTCAGTAACATTCATGCAAAAATAATATACTATCAGATAGAGTGGAGTTTTTTGTAATCTTTATAAACTGTTTGTAATTCTGTAGGCAGAATGAAAACTTATAAAGAATACACAACATCTGTAAAAAAATTCTGTTATATTTGGCATTCTTAAGATAACAGTGCACAGATGAGAATATTAGGTGCAAGTTAAATAGCAGGTACAGAAAATCTTGAAACTTGAAAAATAAAAATAATATTTTTAAAAACCACGTTTTTGTAGTGGAGAATAATAATTAAAAAACAAAATTTCGAAAAACGAAATACGTGGGGTGCATGAAATGCATAACAGTATGTGTGTATATGAGTATGTATATCTGTAATTGTATCTGAATGTGGATGTGGTTGTGCATGCGCATGAGTAAGAAAATGAGTATATGTATGTGTATATGTACTGTTATGTATTTCATGCACCCCAATTTTTTTTTCTTCAAATTTTTGTTTTTTAATTATTATTCTCCACTACAAAAACGTGGTTTTTAAAAATATTATTTTTATTTTTAATTTTTTTTGTACTCACTTACAAAATCTAAATTTTTTTACTCAGTGTACACAAAACTTTTCAACTGACATGTGACACTAATTTGAAATAATCGAATCGACAACAAAAGACAATCGCGAATATATTAATTTTTCTGTAATTTTAATTTTATTTCACTTTGCATGTCTTTTTTCTCTTCAATTTCATGCATTGTCATTCTGAACTATGTGCCAAATTTAAAGTTTGTAGCTAGTCGGAAAGTTAGTTTAAAATCGATTACAAAATTCCAGCCGAACAGACATACACGAAGGCAAGTTGATATAAACGTGGTAAAAATAAAGAGTTGCCTTATATTGCAGCTGAAATTTGTTGTAAAAAGAAATAAAAACACATTACTAAATTCTTTACAAGCTAAGGATAGGAAAAAAACTTAATGAAGAATGCAGAAAATTAATAAACAAAATAAAAAGAAATAAGAATGACTCACCAAACATAATTAAAACAGTCAACAAAAGCAATAGCATTTAAGCAGTCTTTTTTCCTAAGAACCAATCTTACACCACTTTTATGTGAAATTTCAGACTGCAATTGCTGGACTTGAACTTCTCGTAGAGAGAGTGGTCGCCCATTCTCATCAACAGGCAAGGTAGTATTTTTAAAAGAGGGACCAGACTGAAACATACAAACTTAAACTATACTTCATTGGCTGATAAATATAATACATTTTTATGAATTATCATTTGAAATTTAACAATTGTGTGCAATGATTAACTTTCAAAATCAATTAAATTTACTAATACAGTCAAACCTCGATATCTCGAACTTGAAGGGAGAGGAGAAAAAATTCGAGATATCGAAAATTCGAATTATCGAAAATCGCATGTTATCGATGGTAGAATAAAGAAAAATGCTCTTTACATACCTTATTTACTATTCCATATTTATTCTAAAAACACTTTTTACACTTTCATTTAAAAAAAGATTCAATTGTTGTTTGCTTTAGAGATGTGTAAGAAAGTTTGTCTATAACACTTTCTAAGTGGACTATAGCTTTAAATGTCTCCTCTGACATATTCGGCTGCCTCTCAATAAATCTCCTTACAGTGTCCACTGCAGAAAGTGCTTGTTTGTTAGTAACATTGGGCGGTAAATCTTCGATTTCCTCATCCTCTTCTTCTGATAGTTCACAAGAAGCTTTCGTTTGAGCGATGATATCATTGTCATCCCACTGACCACACACTGTTACTGCATCATCTACGTTTACAAAGTCATGAAATTCGATGTCATCAAGCTTCATGAATCCAGTCAATCTGTTCCAATAATTTTCGGTGTAGTTTTCAGCAGAATTAACGATATTGATTGTATGACTACTTTCGTGATCTTTAATGAATCCAGACTTCTTGAAGCCATTCATTATCGTAGAGGAAGACACATTATTCCATGCTTGTCAGCCATTCTTAAAACTTTTTTATTTTTTTGGAATATTTTTTTAATTTTAGAAAAAAAATCTACATTATTTATGGAAAAAAATTCAAGTTATCGAGGGATTAGAAAAAAAAATTTGTGAAATCAAGTTTTTTTAACAATGAGTGTATAGGAAATTTGAAGGGAATTTTTTTTCCTTCCAGATATTGAAAAATTCGTGAAATCGAGGTTCGAGTTAGAGAGGTTCAACTGTATATGAATATTCATTTAATTCCCCACTGGTAATTTTTACATTGCTTATGTTTTGAAGGCTTCGTCACATTCGAAAATATTACTTTCCAGATACTAATATGCTATTTTAAAATTTCTTATGAGTTTGTAGCAGCTATTCATGTATGATAAATTTTGCCTAACTTCAGCCAGAGCTCTCTTAACTAATTCTCAAAGTAGCACAAAACATCAATATGAAGAAAGGTCACAGTTTTGTGAAATTGAAAAACGTTTGTGTTTTAATTTTTTAATATTTAAAAAGTTATTCTAACAATGCATTACCTAGGCTCATAAAAATATGAAAAAAATGAGAATTATTCATTGATTTTATTAATTTTCATCTAAAATCCTCTTGATTGCATATTTATAAAAATTTCAATTATTTAAGTTTTTTTTTTTTTCTAAAGCCCAAACAATTCTTTATGGAAAGATGGTATATATAGTTCAAAATTATAGCTTTGTTTCAAGTGAAAGACACTTAAAGTGGATTTTTTTATTTTTCTTTGCAAAATAATTCCAAAAAGCCTGCTTAAGGTTTTAATTTAAATTTAATTAAAGTTACAAATGGTTCAAAAGTATAGAAAAACAGGATAACCGAAGAATTAATTTTTTTTTTATAAAAGTAAAAATTTATCAAAATAAAAAGTAATAAAATAAAATAAATAAAAATATTTTCAAAATTTCTATTTGCATAATTTAAGGCACACAATAATTTACATTTCTCATTTGGGATGATTTCTTCTTCTCTTTTAGCAAGTATTTATAATAGGATATCAATAGAAACTTTTTTAAGTTGCTTATTACAGATACAAGATATAATTTATTTAAAATGATTCTTAGCATAATAATTATGAGAATTAACTTTTCGGTACAGAATTTTTATTGAACATATTTTTCATCTTTTTCTCATTAACTTGTATCTTGAAAAAAAAGATGAAAAATAAAAGATTTTGACCTAAGCTAATGTTTAGGCCAAAATAGGTGAAAAATATTATATTTAGCATTTTAATATAATTTATGGTTATGAAATACAGCATGAAACATTCATGTTTTTTTTTCTGCATTGAAGGTAAAATTTCCCAAACACGGCTCACTTCCAAACTAAACTTTTTAAAATTTGTACTTATTTGCAGTTATTTATCATTAAAATTTTTTTTAATTCACAAAACCAATTATAGATAAATTTTTGAATATAAATGAAATTTTTTTTTTAAAACTACTTTTATTGGATTTTATATTTTAGTACAAATATAATCCATTAATTTAGCAGATTTTTTTTAGTAATTATTAATTTGTTTCTTAAAAGGAAAAAATACCAAAACATATTTCTGCTTGTATTTAGAGCGTCAGAAAAAAAATTATAATCATTCTAAATTCTATATAATCATTCTAAATTGCAGTTACTTGGCCTAGATTTTAATATCATTTTTTAAAAACACATATGCTTAATCTGGCATTTTATGCTACTTCTAATACTTTTCTAGGATGTAGTCAATGCTATTATTTCTAAAAACATCTTTCTAAAATATGTACTTTAATTTAAACTTCGAAAAAAAAAAAGAGGTAGAAAAGCCTAGAACATTCTTGAACTGTGAAACAGAAGATTTACATAATTTCTACAGCCGAACTTAAAATATTTATATGTGCACAAATTAAAAAGCATAACAAAACACAATATACAAAGAAATATAAGTAAGAACTAAAAAAGTATCCACTTAAAAATTTGTGCATATTAATAATGTATCAAATGTATTGGAAATAAAATACATTTGATACCTTAAAAAGTATCCACTTAAAAATTTGTGCATATTAATAATGTATCAAATGTATTGGAAATAAAATACAATATTTCAATTCTTACCACAACTCGTGGTCCAGAATGTGGATGTCTTTCACTGGGAGAAGCTTGGTCATTTCTGTCAGAGTTGCTACTAACAGATTGAGTTCTTAAGAGTACTGCGGAGTTAGAAGTAGCGTGATTTGATGAATCTGCAACAAAAGCAGATGTACTTTGCAGCGATCGGTTCAAAGAGGGCTCAGACGTAGAAGATAAATGTCCCAAATTTGAAGCTCTTGAACTAGGTTGCACAACTGGATTAACACTTGGAACAGATGATATCTGATTTGCGCTGTTTATGCGAGGAGGAAGAGCAGGAGTGGGCTTGAAGACAATATGCCTTTGAGGATGTGGTGGGTTTTCATAATTAGGGTTTCTAATACTTAAACTGAAGCTGGGAGCACTTGATGAACTAAATAGGGGCTCATACAAAGATTGTTCTTGTGAAGAAGTACTTGAGGTTTGAGCTGTCCTCTGTTCCATATCATTTGAAACAGTTGGGCTGGTTTGTGAAATGCTACTTCTTCTAGATCCTGAGGTTGACTGTTCAGCATTTGATGGTATATCAAAATTAAAAACTGTTTCAGGTAAAGAACGGGATGAGGAAGGCGTGTTTTCGATAGTAGCTATGGAATTTATTATGACAGAACTTGTATTTAGACTTGAATTTTGTGAAACGTTTCGCGTAGAAGGGTTTCTGATGTAAACAATAGTTGAACTGGCAGTAGAGCCATCTGTTGCAGAAGATGAGAGAGAAGCAGTTTCAGGAACAGGTGGCAAAGGAGAATTTGGATCTCTCATAGTTAGGCGGTTGAAGTCTGGTAATGAGTAACAAATGTAAATAATCAGGTTATACACAAAATAAATTGTTATTTTTTCAATGTATGCATTAAGTAAATATTAGAACAAAACGAAAGACTTAACAGAAGACTTAGAACAAAAGACTAAAGCAGTAGTTTCACATATCATAATTACTGACGAGAAAAATGTAAAACATCTGGAGTGTATAGGAAATTCAAACTTAGAAGTGCTTTATAAAAGCCCTTTTCAATGTCATCATATTCGAAAATAATATTAATAAAACACTTTATTTCGCAATATTTTAAATCCAAAGCTGCTTCAACATTCCTATAACCTTTAAAACTTTCTCACATCACTGGTTCAATAGATGAAGCAAAAAAGCAGCTTTTAAAATGCAAAGTGTCATAAGCATAAGTAAAAAAAATATTTTTTGTTAAAAAATAATTTAATATAGTTTCTATTATCCAAATTTCTTTATTTTTATTTAAAATTATAAAAATAATAAAACTGCATATGTTTTTATTAGACAAAAAAGTTCTTATTTTATTATGTTTTTATAAATATGAATATAATAATGAATAAAAAGTTTTTGTATCATGTTCAAAGGTTTACACATTTTTCATTACCTTACATTAAACAGATTTAAATATGTTAAATATATATATATATATATTTTAATCAAAATATTTTACAACAGTTCAAACATGTTCCAAAATTATAACAGGGTTTTAATACAATAACATGAATTTAAATGCATATCTGAAAACTAAATGAACTCTTATCTGCAAGGAGTTTACATACCTTCTCTAGATAAAGGTTCATTTGATTCCATCTCAGATGATAATGAGGGTTTTGTATTAATAGGTTCTTTGCTATATAAATTGTCTTTTGGCTGGAAAAAAAAAAGAATTGGATATGACGATTGAAGAAAATAAATTAACAGTGAAAAATAATGCTGGATAAAAAAATACTTGAACCTATTCAAAATGAAAAAGTTTTCTTATTGAAAAGAGTAAATTAACCATAAACATAAATCATAGATCAAAGAATAACGGAAAAATTTAAAGAAAGAAAAATTGTTGGAGCCAGGACTTCACTTTAAAGAGGTTTCAAATTTAAATTCATACATTTATTAAGATTTTTTTTTTAAGAAAAACTTTAAGTTTAATTTGAGTTACATGTATCCATTTTCTGACATTTTTTGAAAATCACTTTTAATTATTATGATAAGTTACTACTCCCAGTTGTGCTAATTGCATTGAAACATCCCTGAGGATGATCCAAAGACATGCCATCACAACTTTGATCCTGCAGAGGGGATGGCACCCCCGCTTCGGTAGCCCAACGACCTGCACGCGAAGTTGAGCACTTTACAGTAGAATAGTTTAACAAGGACCCATACCGCACACCCTCGGTCCCTACGCAGACTGATCCAAGTGGTCACCCACCCGCACACTGACCGTAGCCAATAATGCTTGACTTCTGTAATCTGTTGGGAACCGTGTCTTAACGATCAGTTCACTGCAGGACTTTTGCACATTTAAAATTGATAATTATGTCTTACTATTAAATGAAGTGAATAAAGCATACTTCTACGAATTTGCAGAAAAATGGCAGGTCTGTGAGAATACCCATTCATATTATAGTAATTTAATACATTTACACACTATTCAATTACTTTATTAATTCCTTCTCTTCACTTTTAATTCATAACAGATTAAATTCTTAAACAATTTTTTTTTAGTGATGAAATGAATGACAGATACCAAAAAATCTTTGTCTTAATTTAATTAAACATAGCAAAATTATTTCTGTTTGTTAGATAAAAATATTATAGAGATAATAACATAAATTTAGAAATGATATTTATATTCCAAAATGTGAGTTAATGCACATGCATTTAAATTTCATAAAAAGGTATTGATTGAAAATAAAGTTTACCTCTAAAATACCCATTTCTCGGAGTTTTGTGCACAAGGTATCCATCCATTCAAGCATTTGTTCACTAATAAAATAAAATAAAAGTATTTTTTAACTATATATATCTTCTAACATTATGTACAAAAAGAAAGCTAGAAATTTAAATGAGAGTTTAAAAAGCAATGCAAAAAATGCATTTTTTGCATTGCTTTTTAATGCAAATGCAAAGTTTTAAGTGTATTTGATAACAAACAGTTGAGGAGTAACTTTACAAAACCTCTCTTATGGAAAATAATTAAAACACAGACAGTGTGAATGCAATGATATGAGCAGCATAAACAAATGATAAGGAATTGATATATTTTTCGAAATTGAAGTTAACAAATGAAAAATAAAGGCAAGGCATAATCTTTATTTCCTAATATCAACCCATAAATTTTAAACCTAATTTAGCTGAATTCACAATAAGGTTTACTAAGATCTTTCATCCAATTTTTAAATTATATACTAGAAAAAAAATTAATTTAACAAGATTAACAAAGAAAACAAATAATTATATATATACTTACTTAGTTGAAGCAGCTAATCTTATAACTTGTGTTTCTAGTGTTATGACAAATTCATGATCATTTCCTTGAGCAACAATAGTTGGGGATATATGGAGACATTTTGAAAGTGATATACTCGAAAGAGGCATATGTGAATAAGCACTTCGTCTATTCTCATAGAATTCAAGAAATGCTTCTTTGTCATCATGCACACAGAATACAACCCAAAACTTTTCAAGCTTTTGAGCCTAAAAGGAAAGAGAACACAAATATACAATGAGATTACTTGTTTGAATCAATTAAGAACAGTTTTCAGTATCAAAAAATTATGATCAAATGACCAAAAAAAAAAAAAAAAATTCTTAACATCGAATATATGCCTACTTTTTTTTAACACTATATGCTACTACCAAAATAAGAAAAAACTATTTATCAATTGTGAAAGAATTTGAAACTGGAAAGAAAAACATTTTAATTACATATTTTACATTTGTTATGTACAACATTACAGAAATTTGACATTTATAAAAATTTTATTTTTGTATCCCGTAAGAAACGATAAATCCATACTTTTACCATATTTTTGTGTTGATTTTTTAATATAATTTTTAATTTTCACAAATTATGTCTAAATTTTCACAAAATAGGTACCTTTCAGGAAAACCTAGACAGACCCCTGTACTTGTAAATCAGTACAATTCAGAAACTACTACAATTTATAAACTGAGTGCAGATGTTGTGTTTTTAAATTTAATGTTACAATTAATAAATATATAAATAGATATAAAGATATATATTTTGCTAATTGGAATAAAAAAAAAGTTTAATATTAAATTATAATATTATATAAATACAAGACCTCACTCTTTTTTTCTTTTGAGCTACTACCAAATTTAATTTAATATTGAACTAAAGAATGGTTCTTTTTTTTAGTATCAAAAATCTAAATATTGCTTTGCAATTTTTTTTCTTTCCAATACTTGGTTAAATGGTTTTAAATTAATGAAATTGTAGGTAAAAATTTTTGATTGATACATACAAAGTTATTTTCAAAAAAAGTCAATATTTTAAAAAACTATTTCCTCGTCTTGTCAAACTTTCTGCCCGAGAAAATTTTTGTCTGTGTCTTTTTCTATCTCCCTACAATATAAACAAGTAGTTGTCAATCTAGTGCAAATTCATTAGTAAACAGTTAATTTGGACCAGATTGAAAACTTAAATTACCCAGTAATGAATGATTGATTTTGATTTGAAGTGTCAACTAAAACAGTAAATTAAATTATTGCCCTATTTAATACAAATATATTCTAATTATAAATAATAAAAAATACATTTTCATGACACTTTAATCTAAGAATACAGGTACGCTACAGTTACATAAAGTTAAGTTACTGGACGGCTAGTGGGTGGTTAGAAATAAAACAAATAAATAAAACTAACAGCAAAGCTGCTATCAGCAAAAGTTGACTATCAAAAAGGGTTGATTATTCCCATACAATAGTAAATGTCTCTATTTGTTACTTTATTTAAATTATGTCAGATGGTTGTTTTATATAAAGAATGTTTACCTTTGGAAATTTTCCAGACCATTTATCAACACAAGGCATTCGCTTTAACCAACTGTTTTTGTGAATCTCTCGAACAGTAGGGGAAGATTGTGCAGCATTGCTTTCAATTGCAGAACCTTCAGTAGGCCGCTCTCTGTCATTTAAAGATGTATTATTGTTGGTGTCCTCTACTAGATTAATTTCTCTTCTTTGCTGTGATTCTTCTACAACTGAGCCAGCCTGCTGATGTTGTGTTGAACTTATTTCTCTACTCATTATAATGATATAAATATATGGCTTCCTGAAAAAAGAACAAATTATATGACTTAAATATAAAATAGCTCAATGTATGCAGAAAAAAATAAAATCAAATAAATTCTGATATTAGCAAACAGATTTCCACATGAATTAATATAGATAGGTACGAAAAAACTTTCTTCTTTGAAGCATATGTTAATTGGGAAGATTTCCGTATTGGTACCTGTGTTTATTGGTACCTCTGTATTGGTACCTGTGTTTATTGGTACCTCCGTATTGGTCACCAAGGTTTGGTTACTATACGGAAATGAGATGCAAGAAACAGGAAGATTCCCATTTTTGCTACCCGCAATAATCAGCAAGTTTTGGCGATATCTTTGCAATGGCTCGTATGAAGCTAAAATAAAACATTATAGAAAAGAGTCAACTCAAAAGGTGTATTTTTTTTGAAAAACTTTTTTTTTTCTTTTTTAGAAAACAATTTTGCAAGCTATAAAGTTTTTGGTGCCTTGGCTACTACAGTAGGCCCTACTGAAAATAGATGACATTAAAACTAAGAGAATCAAGGGGAACTCTAAGAGTAAAATTTGCTACGACTATATAATTTTTATGCATTTTATTGCAATCATAAGAGTTTGGTCATGAAACATTGATTAATTTTGACCGACACTTATTAATTAAATAAATACCAAAATTAGACATAAAAAACTTATTTTTTACTGAAAAAGATAATGATAACTTAAACTAATATATAGTGTAATTTAAACATTTAATGGAGCATTTTTTCATACTGGTACCTGTTTAAGCAAACAACAATGATAAAGGCACCAAAGGCTTTTTAAACTTGGAATAATTAACAAAAAATATATATACATGTTTACCCAGGGGATGGATACGAGTTATACCATTTGAGGTGGGAAATTATAAGGGAACCAACTCAAATAGTATCACTTCCTAATGCAATGCCTTCTTAAAACGTAAAAAAAAAACTTTTATGAAGTTTCTTTTTTTTTTGTTTCTAGCACTTTTCCAGAAGTAGCCAAGACTTGTCAATTGTTTATGCTCAGGTACCGATAGGGAAACTTTCCAATTTAAAGAAATTATATGAAACACTTTAAGTCATACAAATGAACTTTTTTTTTATTGATAGATCAAGGAGGTTATAACATATAGTTTAGTTGAAAGACTGACTTAGTTTACTCATGTTAATGGAATAAGGACAGTTTTAAAACATTTGACTAATATTACTAATCTGATATTTGTATCCTAAAAAAGAATGAAAACTTTTTACAAACAAGGTATTTTCCTCCTTAAGAAAAAGTAAAAAATGCAACACGCTATAAATTCATTCCACATTAACATCATATTAAAATCTTTTAACTGAAATAAGTACCTATAATTAGGATGGTATCATAGCTAAATAAACAGTCAGATGATATTTTTAATATGTGTTTTTTTTAAAAACTTAAAATTACATATATTGTTTCGTTTAATGTTTTTTAAATGCAATACAATAGTAAAACTACTAATTGTCATTTCGTGAATTCATCGTATGGAGCCTTTAAAGACTTCATAGTCTTATTTATTTATTAATTAATAAAGATATCGGAGACATTATTTAATATAATTGTAAACAAAGACCATAGACAAAAAACTGTCAAAACATTTATGAATTCTGAAACTAACTTAGTGGGTGAGTTGAGTTGTATTATACTTGTTAATTAATTTAGATTTAAAATGAAGTACTTTTATTAGAGTAAACTCTAGTTGTATATCATATTGAGAATTTAAATTATTTTTAATTTTCGATAATAAGCCTATTTAAAGCAATCATCAATTAAATGCAAATGTGGTGACTTTCGCACCAATCAGATTCACGATTTTAAACAGTAAACCTTCAGTAAAATTACAACTTTATAAAACTAGAATTATATTTATAATGGCATTAAGGTATTGAATGAATACAAAAAGTGTTATTTACACGTGTTGGATGCGAGAAATTTCTTGTAATCAAAATTTTAAGAGCCGCGGGACTAATTAGGTAGCATTTTGTATTATAATTACAGAATAGGCTTAATTATTGATTTTCTTAGTGATTTTTTCTTAATCTGGTCAATTTTTTTTCTAGGGAATAATGGTTCAGCGATTAACATACCGTAGACGTTTGTGTTACAATACACAGTCTAATCGAGTGAAAATGTGAGTTATGTCATTTTGATTTAGTTTTTGCTTATATTTCTTAATTTTGTATGACGTTGAATAAGATTACAAAACCAAATGAGACGTTTCCAACGTTGCGAAAAATATTCATTAGAAGTTTTTTAATTCAAATTTTGTGTTGAATTTCATTAATAGATGCAAGTGTACTTTTAATGTCTTATTTGGACATGAAGTAACATTCAAATACTCCAAATGTTTAATACTGCTGTGCTTTAGAAAAAAAACACTTATATAAATTTACAAGCAAATAAAAAATGTTTACTTTTCTAAAGTGTACTAGAGATATTTTGGAATCCTGATCAGTTGGGCCAAATGTCCTCGCCAGGAGATTTCCGTATTATGATTTGTGGCAGAATAACAGCCAAATCTTGGAACTAAAGAATCAAAACGGCACAAAAGGGACTCCAAAGGTGGCCAAGCCCGGATATTGATAAACATTTGCATGTTCTTTTGTTTCTAATTTTGCAGGTTTAAAATCTGCAATAGATCACAATAGGGAAATATTCTTTCATTCGCCAATAAAAACATAGGGATATTTAAGTATTGTGACCAGTTGTACTAACTACAATGCCATGGTACCAAATAGATTTTGCACTGGCAAATTTATAAAAAACATTTTTGGGGGTGGTGGCTAGGAGTTGGTCCCGATCTGTGTGTGTGGTTTTTACGGGTCACTGCCTGAAAATTGCCAAACTGGCGATTATTCTGCCACAGATCATGATACGGAAGTCTTCCCAAAAGCATTAAGAAGTTGGGCCCCCCTCCCTTCGCTGCCTACTGCTTGAAAGTTGCCAAGACTTTGCCATTATTCTGCTCCATATTATAATACAGAATTCTTCTCCAGGTTCTTATGACCCATAAATGTGATTAATATCTCACTATATTTTGTTGGAAAATGCAGTTTCACTCCGTTATAATCTTGCATCACATCTCCTTGACCCTTTCGCGACGGGAAGTGCGAAAGCGCGCTTACTGCTCAGGCTGGCAATCTTTCTCGCGTGTGGCTCTCCTGGGCCGGAGGGTTTTTTGCTGTTAAGCCTAATTCCATGAAATTACCGAAATACCAACGCATTGTTTAATATTGTTCTGTAGAGTATTTAAGTGATATATGCCTTATATATATTTCTATGGATACTTTATTTACTTAAGTTATTTCTTGTTGAAATGTATGTTTTACACATTTTATTTTCATTATGTACTTATCATTTAATAATATTTAACATTACATATCTGAAAACTATATATATGACTTAAAGTTCTTCTTTCATATGAAAAATTTTAAAACAGGGATCTACAAGATCTAACTATCCACTAAAAACTAAATCGAAAGTAGTCAAGAAAAAAAACCTCCCCCGCTTACTGTAAACAAATACTACATGCGAATTTAAAGAGCTGTCATAAAACATTCCTTCTCCCTAAATCTGAAACCCTATAGCCATCTTATGGAAGAAATTTTATTTTTTAAAGCATTCCGAAACGCTGGCACAAATATGTGACGGCCAAGAGTAAACGAGAAAACGCTCTGACGCGCGGGTGTGTCGGCCGGGAAGTGAGCGCGTTTCTTGCTGGCACGTATATGTGACAGTCGGCGCGAACTACTCAATTGTCACTTTAATAATATTGTGCTAGAGTAATATTCAATTTTATTACTAACATAAAATTAATAAGTTTGACGTGCATAAAAAATTACTTTAAGTTTATTCACTTGGTTCTGACTAATTTAAGTGAGTAAGTTTTTAAATGTTAAAATTCTTCCAGGGTTGCAAAAAACCCACCTGCCCAATAAAACCCGCCCGGGTTTTACTGGGTATAACCCACTCTGAAAAACCCGGTAAAACCCACCCTAAAGTGGGTTTTACTGGGTTTTTCTAAGATTGATTTCTTTTTTCATCCCCTGCTACATTAAAGAGCTATTCTATTGAAATATATATGTAATCTAGCCTAAAAAAAAATTAACCTACAGTGATGAAACTAATTGTGTTGGAGACTGGAGAGTCACCTTGCTGGCTAGATTTGACTGTATGGCCATTGATTCGCTTTCTATGCAAATAAAAAAATTTCCCCAAACATTTTTTAAGATTAAAATATAAATAAAAAGTAATCCTGTGTTAAAATAAGTTTCAAATGTGTGACGTATGTGAGTACATATAACATTTTGTATCATGATATATGAAGAAACTTTTTTCAGACTTTCACATCAATTTATTTGTATTAATTATCTATATGAAGTCAATTTATAAATTAAACTTAATTATTAATATTAAAATAAGTTTTTTTTAAAATAAGGTTCTTATCCCTGCCCTCTCTTTTGAAAACCCTCCCATAAAAACATGAAAAAAACAGAAAAGCCCAATAGAACCCAGAAAAGCCCAATAAAACCCAGAAAAACCCACCCGGGTTGGGTTTTTCTACAAAAACCCGGGTTTTTTGCAACCCTGTT